GACTGCTTATATCCTGATTCATCATCCTTACGGTTGGGAGCTAGCAGCTCAGGAAGCTGGGATATGGGCTGTAGTCTGGAGCAAGGAGTCAGGAACCAGCAGATCTGGAAGCAAGAATGTGACCTGCAATCAGAAGTCACCAAGGAGCCAGTAGCCAGGAAGCAGGAGGTAGGAACAAGGAACTCAGAGCTAGACAGAAATGGGTCTATCCTAATGAGTAGCTTCCTGGGTACTGAAATGGCTGCTGTTAATCAGCAGACAGTCACACACCTGCAGGTAACAAGGACTGGTTAGGACAACAAGGCCCAACCCAGTTGGCCAGCTGGGGCCTAACTAGTCTGCCTACGGCATCCGCATCTGACAGGTCTGAGATCATTTTTCCTGAGTATATGTATGACAGTGAAGCTTCTGATTCCATATTATTTTTAAATAACACAAAATATAACAATTTACCCACATTAATAGTTCATATAGACCTAAACAGCATCTTGTTATTGCTATTGGTATTTCGTATACGTTTTTATGTACTATTTTAATCATTATAATGGACCAATAGATTTTTAGCAATTTGAATTGGATTCTTCTCTTACTTATACTGATGTGACTCTACAGAAATGCCATTTAATTCCACTAAAGTAATGTTAAAGTACATGAGTTTTTAGGTTCAGGGAAATTACACATGCCAGGGAAAAGTACAAAGAAAAGCTGATAATATTTCAGTTCTGGATCATCTGAATATTTTCATTCCAAGCATCTTTCTCCCATTGTCCTAAGTGTTCATGTGGTTTCTAGCACCATACACTTTAGTTCACCCAGGTATTCATATATGCAATATGTCTTAATGAAAGACTATATTTTGCACCTTCACCTCTTTTGTCTTTCCTATTAAGCTGAATGTCATTAAGATTGCTTTTAAGAGAATTAAGATTGAAATTGCAACCCCTTGGAAAAACTGCAATTTCACCTTGGATCTTTTCTTTTAGGTTTGCAATAGTTTCTTGTTTCACTTTGCTTATAATCCTGGTAACCACTATTGCATCTGACACTCAAAATGCCAGTTACAGCTATTCAGATGCACTATTACGGGAAAAAAATGCTTTGTTTGGCTGCTATATTTATGGGATTTCTTTTTCTTTCTTTTTCTAACTGACTTTCCTGGCTTGCAAGTATTAAGAACAAAATGCAAACAAACAGCCACCTTGATCTGATTATAACCAAACAGCAACATAGTTTGACTTTTTGAGTTTCAAGGCTATAGACAGCCACTGTAACACACATGAACAGATGCATATACTTTGCATGTTCTCTATAAACAAAGTGCCAGACCATTAGTACATCTCTAGCTTTCTCCTGTTCATGTTTATATCTAAGGCTATCATTTTTAACCACAAAGCAGGAATATTCTTAAGTTCATATCTGCACATAGAATTCTTTTCAGCCCTAGTCAATATGTAAATACAAGCTGTTGTTTTCAGAATCATCAAGAGCTTTACATAGTTAGTGTTTTTCTATATGAAAAACATAATCAAGAATATGTTTGATGAAATAAGCAATTATTCAAGAACCTTACAGGAAAAAGCACTTGTTCAGATATATCCTTTTTGTTCCTAAACTGTATTAATAGTTTTTCAAACCAGTAAAAGGCATCAAACCTTTTTTTTTTTATCTTGATGGCCTACACAGTTGCAAACATCTCTTGCAAAAATAGGACAGGAAGAAATCACTTCAGCTATATTCTCAATATCTTTACTTCAATTAAGAGAAAACAAATTGAACCACTTTCAGGAAAGTTCCTTGCCTGTTGTGCATGAGTGACTCACTGACTCTACCACAATGATTTGGATAATGAATGCTATATAGTAGTGGTGCTCAACCTGTGATCTATACAGGCTCTGACCATGTCATCCAGCCCACAGAGCTCCTCAGGGGTCTGAAATTTGGCAGCAGGGAAGCAATGGCAGCATTAATTGCTGCAGCTCCCCCACCACCAGATTTCCAGACCTGTGGAGAGTGCTGGGGGGCAGATGACACAGCTCTGCATGCTGAGTCACATCAGCATGCGGGGCTATTCCATGGCTGGATCCAGGGCACAGAGCCAAGCCAGGATGCCAGCTTGCACCTGTGGACCAACCCTGCACTGGATCAGGCCTGAAGATGGACCATGTGAGATTGGGCCCATGGACCAACACCTACACCACTCCTCCAGCCCATGGAGCTCAATAGGTTGAGGACCACTGCTACATACAACTGGAATGTCAAGCTTTTTGGATAGAAATTCTAGATTCCACCTCCCCATATTCATGATGAGATAGTAGAGGGACATAGCAAGACAGATTTACTCCTGGAGCAGTGACTGAGCATAGGGCAGTGGTGGCTTCAGCCAGGGAAGGTGCAGTCAGCCACCGCTGCATGGTGGCTATTTTTTGTGTCCCCCCCAACTGTTTTGTGTGTCCCCTTGTTGCCCCCCCAGGCACTATTTACTGTGCTGAGCTTTCACAAATGTTTGGAATTTAAGACCTGAAGAGTCTGTTAGATTAGTGGTTCTCAACCTTTTTTGTACCAGGACCCATTTGTAAACACTAATGGCCAGTTCCTACCTAGTGCCCCTCTCACTCTTAACTCTGTGCCCCCTGTCCCCAAGCCCCAGCCACACAGTGTGTGGGGCTGAGGTTAGGTGTGTGGGCTGGGGGAGGGGGGTGGCATGGGGAACCCCAAGCAGGTCCTGGCAGGCAGGAACTCTGCCAGTCTGCAAGAGAAAAGTCATAGTTTCCCATGTTTTTCTCCTTTAAAGGAGAGTCCATTTTTTAAGTTTGTTCATGACCCTTTCATATATCCTTGCAACCCACTTTTGGGTTGTGACCCACAGGTTGAGAAACACTGTGTTAGATCATTGTAATCTGACCTGTACATCAGGGCCCATTAAATATCTCAGGTACCAAAAATGGAACCCAAAAACTTATAATGTGACTATAGTTAGTATCCAGCTAAATGATATCTTCCAAAGAAGCATCTAAGTCTTGATCTGAAAACATCGAAAGAAAGAAAAATCATCATGTTCTTCGATGATTTGTTCTAATAGCTAAAAATGTGTGCCTCACTTTTCACATGAATTTATCTTTCTCAGCTTCCACCCATGGATCTTTTTATGCCTAGATTAAAGAGCCCATCAGCATTTGGTATTTTCATCCTGTGAACGCACCTGTATACTGTGATCAAGTCACCTCCACATCTTTGTGATAAACCCTTTGTGATAGAGCTAAGTCTCTCAATGCAAAGCATGCTTGCCTTCTATTTAGGATCAAGCATAGGTGAACCCTCCTTTGTCCACAAAAGGTAGCTGGATCTACTTTGCATTATGCAAGGGGAGGAAAGTACCTTGAACTGGTGTTTCCTATGCACTGCAGAGCTGTGCTCCATGAGAGATCCCTGTGCCTCAGTAAACAGACATAATATAGGTCAAACCTGGAATGGGATGGAGACAGTGTGATGCAATTGCACGGCTCCTTAAATCATTCCAGTTGACCCAAAAGCTATGGGAGGTACTGCAACACTAAGACTTCAGGGGAGATCTCATAGAAATAATGTTGTGCAGTCCTGAGTATGAGAGATATTTCCATCCCTGGGGCTCTCATGCTTCTTCTCTATTCATGGACTAATTGCTTTGGCTGTACATAGCAATGAGGATTTTTACCTTTTATGCTTCCTTATTAAATATAGCTACCAATAAAACATGTTCTGGTAGCAGCACTTTGATGGGTACCTCTTATCAGCGATTCATCGGAAGTTGCTGGATCCTGTGATGAAGAACTAGATCTGTTACTACCATTACAAAAGGCAAATCAGAGCAAAACCTACTAAAGGCACCCTTTGGACACATTTTTGCCAAACCTTAAACTGTAACAAACTGCACACCCTTAACCACTTCCACTCCATATGAAAGAGTGCTTTCTGCCTCTTATACTTCTGTCACTTTTAGAAAGAGTAATAAAAAAATAAAGTTCTGGGACTGAAAAATAAAGTCTGGCTCCTTTGTTGATAATGTGCCCCAAACTTGTCTGAGACCTACAGTTGCATAACGCTCACACTGAGGTTAAAGGCAGCTTGCTGTTGGCTTCATAAGGAAACCCTTCTCACCCTTTCCCCATGTTCACCAGCTCCCCTGACAGTACATGAGAAGACATTTACCATCCCTGCTCCTGTGTGTCATGACACCTGGATGCTAGTGAGCCACCAGGAGAAAAGGGTCCTAAGGTTTCCAATTCTCTTCCTGGTCCCAAGCCCACTTGCAAGCATGTACAACCATGAGCCCCACTTGTGCAGTCCCATGCAGTCCTATTCGTGTGGATCAGCCTCTGAGAAGTGAGCTACAGTTCATGAATGCTTGTGCTATATAGATAAGTATATAGCCTGAAGTTGAGCAGAAGGCAGGGTAGATTTGCACCTTATGGAGTAACCAAAATAGGTAGGTAGATAGATAGATAATCTATTTTATCCATTAGATTTGAACCTTATCCACTAACCAAAGTAGATAATCTAGGTAAAGTAGATATATTAACTAGATAAAGTAGATATAGTCTCTATCTTTACCTATTAGATTTGTATTTTCTAGACTAACTGAAGTAAGTAGATAGACAGACAGACAGATGATAGACAGATATCCAAAGTATGTAGATAGACAGGTGATAGATAGATATCCAAAGCAGATAAATAGACAGATGACAGACAGACAGCTGCCTATGTCAGCTGTTAGATTTGCACCTTCTAGACTAACCAAAGCAGACAGACAGACACATATCCGAAGTAGACAGACAGGTCGCTAGCTCAACCGATGGACTACTAGTGCTGCAGTTAGTCTAGAAGGTGCCAATCCCCGCTGCCGTCTTGTGGACTTCAGCCTAACCCGGCTCGCTGCCTCTACCTGTCCTGGCTGTGCCCGCCGATGCCAGGTGTGCCCCCGCCCGCAGCAGGCAGCCCCGAGTCCCCCCCGCGCCCGCGCTTACCTTGAAGACGTCCTGTGAGGCGACCGAGGCGGCGTCCGCTTCGCACACGACGCCGTGGTAGGTGTCCCGATCCGCCGCCTTGTCCCCGCCCTGGAAGAGCTTCAGCAGGGAGCGCCTCATGGTTCCCGCCGCTCCGGCCCCGGCCCCGGCCCCGCGTCGCGCCGCCTCCAGGCACCTGGGAGACGATCAGAGCAGGCGCTGAGCCCGGCGGGAAGAGCCCGCGGCGGCCGCGGGAGGCGGAGGATCGGCCTGCTGGGCACCGGCTCTGGAAACACCCCCTGCGGGCTGAGCCGGGCCGCCCACACGCCTCTTACTGGCACAGGGGAGGCAGGGAAGGTGCTGGGCTCAGGGAGACTGGTCTAACCGGGAGGGGTGCTTTCCAGTCAGACAGAGAAATCTAAAAGAAATCTGGCAGGGAAAGCCATAACGGTCATTTAAAATCCATGAGGCGGGCGCGTTTTGTAGGAGCCAGGGCTGTGATTCTCAACCGGGGACCCTCCCAAGGCTGCCACCAGGTTAGTGCTGTCGCATGCGCGACCCAGAGGTTTCCAGCGGGGAGCCACATCCTTAAAACCATGCTGACCACTGTCAGCTCTCATCTTCCTGAGCTCCTTGGCAGAAGAATTGCTCTGTTATTTATCTAGTCAAAAAAAAAAATGCAAGAAAGCTAGCAGCTGGCATATCCTGAGGGATGCCACAAGGCTCTCAAGCCAGGCACCTTGGGTGCATTTACATGTGCATTACTGCGCTTTTCCCAATGCACATTAAATTTAGTACCCCCACTGTGAGGTACTAAATAAATGCCCATGAGGATGCCCTAATGTGCAGTACTGAAAGCGCACATTTTTAAAATGGTGGTTAATAAATGGAGCAGGGGGCTGGACTTGCTGATCTTCGAGGTCCCTGCTAGCCCTAACATCTATGAAATATGTAGTAGCCTATTTTATTGTGCATTAGTGTAATTGCACTTTTTAATGTGATGCTTTAATGCGCAGTAATATCAGTACACACAGTAATATTTAATGCACAGTAATATTAAAGCACATGTGTAGATGTGCCTCTTGCTTTGCAAAGGGTTGATAATCACTTCTAGAAGTTCGCAAAACCCTTCACAGTTGTCTCTGAGGGGTTTTTTTGTCTCTCAAAAATTTGGTTTGGGTAAAACCAAAACAGCTTGTAGTGCCTCAAAGAGGATCATGCCCCAACAAAGATGTCATTGAATTTAGAGTTTGCAGCTTACTATTTTCTACAAGTGAAGAGAAATTTTCTCACTGAGAGGAGTGGGAAGTCCCCTCCTCCCCCCTCAACCCAATATAGTTTCTAGGGTCGGAAGGGACCTGAGCAGATCATCTAGTCCGACCCCCTGCCATGGCAGGAAGAGCACTGGGGTCAAATGACCCCAGTAAGGTGGTCATCCAACCTCCTCTTAAAAACCCCCAGGGTGGGAGCCTGCACCACCTCACTTGGAAGCTGGTTCCAGAC